GCAGTCGCCAATACGCGGAGATGACCAGGCACTCGAGAGCGATGTTCTCCGAGAGAGGTCCTATGATGCCGATCAGCTGACCACATTTGTAGAGTCTAACAGACCTCTTCTTACGGAGGATCAAGAGTTGGTTTACCGTGCTGTTCTGGACACGATTTCCAGTGGCAAAGGTGGGCTACTCTTTCTCGACGCTCCGGGTGGAACAGGGAAAACGTTTCTCATCAATCTCCTACTTGCCGAGATTCGCAGACAAGGAGGAATCGCAGTAGCAGTGGCATCCTCGGGGATTGCCTCAACACTGCTAGAAGAAGGCCGAACTGCCCATTCAGCCTTCAAGCTTCCTCTGGATATTGCTCATGTAGAGCACCCAGTGTGTGGGATAAGCAAGGGCACAGGGAAAGCCAAGGTGCTACAGGAAGCCAAACTCATAGTTTGGGACGAATGCATCATGGCGCATAAGAAGTGCCTAGAAGCCCTTGACAACACACTACGGGACATACGAGAAAGCAGCGCGCTAATGGGTGGGGTCGTCGTGTTACTGGCAGGCGACTTTCGTCAAACTCTGCCAGTGATTCCGCGATCGACTCCAGCAGATGAGCTGAACGCTTGCCTCAAAGCTTCTCCTCTCTGGAGACATGTTCGATCGCTGAATCTCACGACGAACATGCGAGTCCACCTCCTTGGCGATGAGACTGCCCGAAACTTTGCGCAGCAGCTGTTGCTTCTTGGCGAAGGCAGAATTCCGGTTGAACCAAGTTCTGGCTGGATTACCTTTCCTCCAGACTTCTGCAATATGGTTCAATCGGTGGGAGAACTGATCGAAAAGGTCTTCCCAAACATTGCCACCAACTTCAGTAATGGGGACTGGATTTGCGAGCGAGCGATTCTGGCACCCAAAAATGAGCAAGTGGATTCTATCAATGCTCAGATTTTAAACAGCCTACCTGGACCGGTATCAACGTACACGTCCTTTGATACCATGGTTCAGCGTGAACAGGCTGTTTACTTCCCCACTGAGTTCTTGAATTCACTCCAGCCCAGTGGGATACCACCTCACAGACTTGATCTGAAGGTTGGTTTGCCAATCATGCTCCTTCGTAATATCAACCCACCGAGGATGTGCAATGGTACAAGGCTTTGCATCAGGGATCTCATGCCAAACGTCATAGTAGCGACCATATTGGCGGGGAAGTTCAAAGGCGAAGTCGTTCATGTTCCACGAATCCCTTTCGTCCCCTCCGATATGCCCTTTGAGTTCAGGCGAGTGCAGTTTCCGGTCAGGCCTGCACTTGCTATGACGATCAACAAAGCGCAAGGACAGTCTCTACGAACAGTAGGAGTAGACCTGGAAACTCCCTGTTTTTCGCATGGTCAACTGTACGTGGCGTGTTCGAGGGTCGGGAGTCCGGCGAACCTGTACATATATGCGCCCGAAGGGAGCACGGCTAACGTAGTGTATCCCAGGGCGCTAACATAATTGCATGCTGTAGTATAGTGCAGTATTTATTTGTTGCATGCCATTTCTATTGGAAAATCCAAAAAAAATTGGAAAATACAAAATTCAAAAAAATGGCAAAACGAAAACCCAAAAAATGGCAAAACGAAAACCCAAAAAAACGGCGGCCAGCGGCGGTCAGGGCAGGTGGGTGGGACAAACAAGAAGCTGGACATATCCAGTAGAGCTTCCCTCCTTACTGATGAGTTCCGGGGAAAGCCTAGGACCTGTTTAGCCAAACCGTCTGAGGGTAGGAACGAAACGGTACATCCTCTTCTTGAGCAACGAAATGGAAGGACGCCTATCGGCATCGGCTGCCTCTGTTGAGGACAACCATCGGTTGCCTCACTTGGAGGACAACCATCGGTTGCCTCTGTTGAGAACAGCCTTCGGTTGTCTCTATCGAAGACAGCCATCGGTTGCCTCACTTGGAGGACAACCATCGGCTGCCTCTGTCGAGGACAGCCATCGGTTGTCTCTATCGAGGACAGCCATCGGTTGTCTCTATCGAGGACAGCCATCGGTTGTCTCTATCGAAGACAGCCATCGGTTGCCTCACTTGGAGGACAACCATCGGCTGCCTCTGTCGAGGACAGCCATCGGTTGTCTCTATCGAGGACAGCCATCGGTTGTCTCTATCGAGGACAGCCATCGGTTGTCTCTATCGAAGACAGCCATCGGTTGCCTCACTTGGAGGACAGCCATCGGTTGCCTCTGTTGAGAACAGCCATCGGTCGTTTCTGTTGAGAACAGCCATCGGTTGCCTCTGTTGAGGACAACCATCGGTACAACCATCGGTTGCCTCTGTTGAGGACAACCATCGGTACAACCATCGGTTGCCTCCGTTGAGGACAACCATCGGTTGCCTCTGTTGAGGACAACCATCGGTACAACCATCGGTTGCCTTTGTTGAGGACAACCATCGGTTGCCTCTGTTGAGGACAACCATCGGTTGCCTCTCTTGAGGACAACCACAATTGAAGAGCCAAAGTTGTTTTCTCTTTTTGAGGAATACAACTTCGGCTTTTTTTACCGAAGTGTATGTGGCGCCGGGCGGAGCCGGGTAAGCCAGCTAGTTTGTTATAAATCTGAAATAAGAATCTGTATCTCCTAATCTGCCACTCTCGAAAAGCCTACGAACAGCTGGGCATAGGTTATCAAGTAGTAGAGAGGCGAAGAAGTAAGTATAGGGGGGGGGGGAAGTTTGAAGGTCTTCAGGTACTTCCACAAGCAGAAGCGGCAAGGCTTTGCTGCCTCCTGCCCGACCTCCGTGCAGCTCTATGCTGCTTTTATGCCATTTGAAGCTCATAGCCTTCGAGCCTTCAAGCAATCATAACTCCTTTCAGAAAGTTCTTACTCAGAAAACATTAGCGAATGGAATCAGTGTTCAATAAAGCTCTTGGTGATATATTTACATCTCTCTTTATTTTTCATTGGACATGGTAATCTTCCTTTCAGTCTAATATCGATGTCTAGGGCGGCAGTAGGTGGTAGAAAGGTTGAGGCACGATCATGCAACAATACCATGATGTTGATGATTTTGAAAAGAAACACTGCTTTACTTCATGCCGAACAGTGGTTAGTTCAGTCATAGACGCTGCGTCTATCGCCACGTTTCTGTTTATAATCATAAACTTTTCTTCCCGCTCAGCATGTTTTTAGCACAACAACTTTCACAGAAAGATTTCCGCACTTTTGGCTTGTAGGAGACAGATTTATTTTGTTTATTTTGTTACAAAGTAATTCAATTTGGGCAAACTATAACTTGCATTTCGATGGTTCCAACCAATCCGTTTTCAAATAAATGCTAAAGTATTCACGTAAAAAGAGTTTTATGCGAGCTCTGATTAGCAAATCGAAGATCATTGGAAACATACGCCTGGACTATTACTGATGAAAAAAGCGCAACAATGAATGAGAACATTACCTTTCATAGTTATATCGATATTTTTGATAGTATGATTTCTTGTGTTAGTACAGCCAAAGAAGTTATATGCATGAATCTTGCGTTATCAAGTATCAGATTTCCACACTTCATACTTACGTATATTTTTGTGTTTTTTTTTTCTGATAGGCAGCGTTAGTTCTCGACAGGTGCGTCCGTATAAATGGTTCCACCCCCCCCCCACCCATATTTCCCCTAATGGATGGCCAAGCGGCGTAACGCTTTGCCTTCTAGATCTCGATCCAGCAAGTCACTGATCCGATACCTCCGCGGAACGCCGAGGTGCCACCATGTCCTCCGATAGCGGCTCCAGGCGGTTTACTCCTATGAAGAGCATGCAAGAAGTTGCCCAATGAACACTCCGTAGCGTCATTTGGAAACTCAAACCCAAAAATTTAACACGGTATTTAACGGTATAAAAGTCAAACCAAACCATCAGCAAATACGAGTGCAATTGTACCAAAAATGAAGCTAATGCTTATTTTAGTTGAGGATTGTTTTGGTCCTCTAAAATGGACTTAAGCTATCATTTGTTGAAGTAAGCATAAGCCTACCTTATAGTTCTATGCACTGGTTGCAGACCAGTAAAACGTCCAGTAAAACATCACATCTTTTACTTGGATAAACATTAGCTTAAACTTTTGGTTTTAGTTGTACTCCTGCATTTAAAAAAACCTGTCTCTGTAATCAAGAAGTTGTTTCGTAGGATAGGTTACTGATGTTGTTTGACTTTTCAGACTCCAAATGAGGCGAAACCGCCGGAACGTTAGCCTGTGTGGTAAGGTTCCTCTCCAATTTGGTTATCCAGCTGAAAATGACAACGCTTGAAGATGCACTAAGCAACCCCGACACAATCGCGCTTAGAATGCAAAGAGCATTTCTCCAAAATAGAATTACCTTGTTGTCAGCATGCTTACTCAGACTTCTGTAGCAACTTCTCGCCACAGCTCAAATTTAGCAAAATTTTGATAACATAGGCAAAGAATCTTTGAAGATGCATGTATTCCTGACAAGCATACTCACTTAACCGTAACCGATGACGAAAATTCGCCTTTAACACATTGAAGACAACGTGACCCGCATGGTGGGTCATGCAGTGACTGCCACCTGGGACAGCGCGACCCACATGATGGGTCACGACTCAAATTTCGTTCGAATAATGACAATTATTGGGTACATTCGTTTCATGAGGTCTTTTACGCTCTGTCCCTAGAGGATTTCTTGACATTTCTTGACTGCTTTTTGTGATTTGTGTAGGTATAGTACAAATGACGATCTGCATGATTTTAGCTAGGAAATTTCGACTTATTCGTGAAAGGCATTGTCAAGACAGACAACCAAAAATGCGCGTTGTCGTCAGTGTGTTAACACCTGTCCCGCTCCGAGGCAAGGTTTGGTCGAGACTGATTCAGAAATAAATTTATCTATATGGAACATATGCACAGACAGACAGAGACGCACCAGAATTACAGAAACAGGCACTCGCTGTTAAAAAAAACCGCATCCTTTCACAAATATTGAAGTGACAGCGTTTAGAAGTTAGTTTTATTGGCTTTACAGACTTTTTTCTGGAAGAACTTTGACGAAGCCGAAGGAGTATGTAGAACTCTAGGTGGACATCTGACTTCAATTCATAGTTTTCTAGAAAATGATTTCGTAGCCGGTATGTCCATTACGTGATACTTGTATGTTCACCATTTTTAATTTTTCAGAGCTAGCGAAATCGGGTAAACCATATACTAGTTGTTGTTCTGATACAACTTGGATAGGTTTAAGACGACCTGATCCAGTAAAGAGTAACTGGACTTGGACTGACGGCACAGAGGTAGACTTTCTGGCATGGGCGCCAAATGAACCGGACAACTGGGGAGGAATACAACGCTGCGTGCTGGTATGACCTTTGAATACACAAAGACTTTGGGCTACTGGCGAAAGTAATAGAATTTGAAAATGAAAGCGAAGACAATGTGAAAGTCTTGGCTACATCAATATTTGGTGTTTACATGTTGATCGAAGTACATACAAATCTAAACCACTCAAATCAGAGCGCGTTTATCTAGTGAACGTTCACTCTCGTTTAGCCTCTTTCTTGTTTTCCGCAAAAGTACAGATCGAAATTCAATGTATTCTCACTCTTCTGCCAACATTTTTTCGAGTCTTTCATTTCGAAGTTGGTAAGGTGCCACCACCTCTTTAACAATACAGGGTGTCCTTAAAGTATGTATACACTGTTTGATTGTTAGTATCTCTTTTCCCAAGAAGTTTTTTGCCTTGCTTCAGGCACCATTTTGTAGGGCTGACTTTAACTTAGATTTACAGTATAGAGCGAATCGTCCATCTTTCTCCTTTACTGTAGGATTACAGTAGAAATTTGAAAGAGGGTTTTGGGCCATGAAAGGCCATAGTTTGCCTCAGAAAGGAGACAAAACAGCCTGAAAACTTTTACACTAGGCTAGTTAGAGTTGCTGATTCTAACTGTAAAGTTCCCAACTTAATGTGATGCTTCATTGAAGAGTTATGCCAAGTAAGAGGTAGCGGCCATTTTTTCAATGTTCCTAAAAAGTGCGGTTGCACCGCTTAGAAAGCTTCGCAATCTTGTGAGTAGTTGAGTATTGAATTCAGCGTCCATAAAAACCCTATTACACAAGTTTTCACATTTTTTTAAAAAATTTTGAAACGGCAGCTTTTTCCACATTGACACCATATGTTTCAAGTTTCTACCGTAATCCTACAATAATGAAGAAAGATGGGTGATTCGTTCTACATTGCAAATCTAAGTTGAAGCCAGCTCTACAAAATGGTACCTGAAGCAAGGCAAAAGACTTCTTGGCAAAAGAGATATTAACGATCAAACAGTGTATACATACTTTACGGACACCCTGTACATGTTGACGAGGTGGCTGCCGCTTTTCTTTCTCATGAGTACAAAGCCTAAAGTTTGAATTCATAAAATGGCCACAGAGTGCTTTATTCTGAACTTGTCTTATAATTAGTGGTCTGCGCAAGGATTTGGCAGCGCGCACCATAGTATAGGCTACTGCATGACGAAGGCGCAATAAATTTGGCCGCGAGCGCGGCTTTATTAGCCGCCGAGCGCATGAGGGGCAGGGTCTGCAATGGTGAGGATACGCGCGCGCCGAATATGCCAACCAATACTGCTTCTGCGCCTTCGTCATGCAGCAGCCTTTAAATGTCAATTCTTGTTGCCTATAGCCTGCTCTTCCCTGGCAAGGTATATGCAGTGTTTGATTGAGGTTCGTACAGTATATAATTTTTTTCGTTATTCATACACAGAAAATGTACAAATGCTTACTTTATACTAACAAGGGAGGGTCACGAAGTTGGAGTAGCCGCTTAGCACAAATTGCATATAATTGAAACCTCAAGCGCCGATTCGAAATCTGCTTCTCCTGTTTGCGAAATCTCTGGCACAAAAGATGTGAGCATTCGTTTTTGAGGCAAAATTTCAACCAATGCCCGGGATGGAATCAATTGCTACAGCCTTTTTAGATTGCCAGAATTCATATAACGGACTCCTACTGCTCAATATAAGTAGTTCGTGTTGCTCCAGAGACGTCTAAAAAGACTGTAGCGATTGACTTCATCCTGCAATTTGATTAATTGTTTCGCTTCAAATTTGCTCATAACTTTTTTCTACGATGGCAGATTTGAGATCAGCTCAAGCTCTCATTAATGCTATGCAGTTTGTGATGATCGTTCACTTCGACATTGTGACTCTCCCTTGTGAGTTGTTTGAAAGTTCGTTTCTTTTTTATAAAAAGCAAACTACAGGGTTTCTCAAAAAATGCGCCTTTTACTTGACTGTTAATAATTCTATTGCAGTGAAGTCCTTGAAGAAGCTTTAGGCACCATTCTGTAGAGTTAGCTCGAACTTACAATCAGATGCGCAATGTGGAGCGAAGCAACGATCACTCCTTTCTACTGTAGGATAACGATAGAAATTTTAAAGAGGGTCCTGAACCTTAAGAGCGCATTTTGTTCAAAAGAACACCAAACACACCAAAAGCTTTCATAGCAAGCTAATCAACAACTTTTCCAATTCTTCGAAAATGTGATCATACCACCAAAGAAGCTCCGAAATGCTGTAAAGAGTTGTGTAACGAATTCTGCATGCGCGAGAACCATACCACACAGCCTTCCGATTTACTGTTTTTTTATTAAAGTCTTATTTCACAACGGCGCTCTATCCTGAAAGTCTTTATCGTAATTCTGCAGTATCGAAGAAAGATCAGAAGTTCGCTTTAGACTGGAAATCTAAGTTGAAGCCAACTCTACAAATGACTGAAGCCCCTCAAAATACTTCATGAAAAGAGAGTTTTAACAATTAAACGCTAGGCACATTTTCAGGACACCCTCTGTTCGTTGAATCGGAGTAAATTTTGTTGAACTGTTAGGTAATAATTTCGGTTTTCAACAGCGGCTTAAAAGTGTATAAGCAGAGTCAAGCAAGGGGTGTGGCACACGATCGCTGGTTACGACCCCCCCCCCCTGATTGCTGTCTTAATAAGACCCCCCCCCTAAACTATACACTTAAGATAGCATTACTTGAAGGCCCTGTCAAACATAATGGGCAACATATCCATAATTAGCATGTCGAATAACCCCTGTAGATAAAGTGTAAGCGGATTCTGAAGATTCAACATACTGGACTACCTAAGTGAAATGGTCATTTTTCAACATGCCTTGTTTCAAAGGTGAATTAGCTATCCGTTTTTGCACTCAAGACAAAGCACTACTCATTCTTTGTCCACTTCAGGAATCCTGCTTCAGAAGACCTCCAAACTGTGGAATTAGAAGCCAACCAAAATCTCGTTTTTCCCATTTTTCGCGGGTGCGTAGCAAGTGTTACCCAGGCAGCCGCCTGGTGCCGCAGCCAGCCGCCAGGACTGGCACCAACGCCGCGGCTGAGCTACCGTAAGCGCGCTATCGTCGTCCGCAATCTCTCGCAGAGAGATTTTCGCAACAGCCTCGCATCTCATCGCGCTGAGATGAGAGAATTCCCTCAGAGGTCGAGCTACCGCCACATCTGATATTGATCTGACAATCTGACAACATCTGACAACTGATATTCTTTGTAAGCACTCGAGAAGCTGCTCGAAAGGAGGGTGCGTTCTTCTCCCTAACAAACCGCGCAATTTCCTAGAAATTTAATGTACTGGAATTTCAGGAAGATTTCGAAAAAGAAATGAAATATACTTATGGAACGCTTCGGCCGCGTTTGTAGTCCTGAGCTCCTCTATGCCTCCATATGTGGCACAGTTTTTCTAATATCTGACCTAGTCGGTGTTAGAAGTCTTCTGCTTCAAAGGTCACAACGAATTGTGCCAAAAAATCATTCATCAATCTATTTTATATTTTTTATGAACTTACTCCACGATATTATGCTTTCAATTTAATTTTGTAATCATTCCAATTTATTTATTTAACTTTTATTGGTTTTTGTATATTTTTTGTAATGTATATTACCAATAAACTACAAATTTTCCGCTGTGTTGATCGATATATAATATGTGGCAGTAGCTCGACCTCTGAGGGAATTCTCGCACCTCAGCGCGAGAGGTGCAAGGCTGCTGCGAAAATCTCTCTGCGAGAGATTGCGAGAGCGCGCTTACGGTGGCTCAGCCGCGGCTTTGGTGCCAGCTCTGGCGGCTGGCTGCGGCACCAGGCGGCTGCCTGGGTAACACTTGCACGCCTCCCATTTTTCGCTTTTAATGGCTGTGCTTTCACCAACTATTACTCAGAGCAAAGAAAACGAATTAGGCTAAAATTAATCCTTTGAAAACTAGGAGACCTAGGCTATCGATTCATATAAATAGTGTCCGCTAAAATTGTTTTTTTTGATATATTTAATGGCCTGCGGCACCCCCCCCCCTCAAATCCTGCGGCAGCCGCAGGTTTTGAGGGGGGGGGGGTGGGGTGCCGCAGGCCATTAACTATATCAAAAAAACATTTTTAGCGGACACTATTTATATGAATCGATAGCCTAAACCTTGTAGATTCCATAGGACTATTTTGAGCCTGATTCGTCTTCTTAGCTCCATGTAATATTTGGTGAAAGCACAGCGATCAAAAGCGAAAAATGAGAAAAACGAGATTTTGGCTGGCTTCTAATTCCATAGTTTGGAGGTCTTCTGAAGCAGGATTCCTGAAATGGACAAAGAAGGAGTAGTGCTTTGTCTTGAGTGCAAAAAGGGATAACTAATTCACCTTTGAAACAAAGTTAACCATGTTGGAATTTGACCATTTCACTTAGGTAGCCTAGTATTTTGAACCTTCAGAAATCGCTCACACTTTGTCTACGGGGGTTATCAAACATGCTAATTATGGATAGGATACGAATATCATGTTATCACTATTATCAGATTACCCAACTACGACCCCTCCCCTTTTGACTCCTCAATACGACCCCCCAGGTGTGGCGTGCCGCACCCCACGCTTGACCCTGTGTATAAGCTAATTTTCTGATAGCATCAATTCATGAATGTTTTTTTGTTAGCGCAAACGTTGGGAGGAGCACAGCGTGTGTTTTCTTCACAATTTTCATCAGTTTCATTCGTTCTTTTAGATCCGTATCAAAGAAAATCAAGTATATTCCAATTATGCAAGCAAACCCTGGGCCCCTTTTCCACAAGTTTCCACTAATTTCACATCTTCATTTTAACGTAACCTAGTCCCACAAGTCCAATGCTTACCAGAGGCGGAGAAAGGGGAAGGCAATGGGGGGGGGGGTGGGAAGAGGGAGGGAATGGTATGCGAGATATTTAAAGGTTACTCATATGAGCTGAAAGTGTGCAAGTGACTAATTATGTTCGCAAATAACTGAAACAAATTTTAATAATTGAAAACCCAATTTAGCCTTATAAAAGATTTTTTTTC